ATGTTTTCATAATATTTATCAAATTATATGTTAATTTCTAAAAAAATATTTGAAAATTTATCAACATATATATTTTTATTATTTTTAAAATATATTTTATGTTATTTAAAAATATATATTAATGGGGGTATTACTATTTTGTGAACTTTCTTTTTTAATAAAGTCATATTATGTATATATTAATGGGGGTATTACTATTTTGTGAACTTTCCTTTTTAATAAAGTCATATTATATGCATATAATTTCGTTTTAAAATTTATTTTAAAATTTTAGAAATATTTCCTTTTTGTTATATATGTTATTTGAAAAAATATAAAAAAAAAACTAAATAATTTTTTTTTAATAATAATCTTAAAATCTAACAATTCATTAAGGGTATCTATGTAATCAACCTTCGCGAGAGTTAACGTGAACGCGACACGTACGAAACTGACTTCTCAAATAATATTATAGAGATTTGGAATTACTTTAAAACAGAAGAGTGCAACCAAATATAAATGTTTAAGAATTATTTATAGAAGTTTATAAACCAAACACACCACACCCATAAATACTTAACCATATACAATAACCACTAAGCGTTAAAAACATATGATTCCATATATAAGTAAATTATAAATTGTTAGAGCAATTTTCATGGAATTTCACTGATAAAAACACCTTAAATTTTCATGGAATTTCATTGATAAAAACACCTAACCTGAATCAACCAGGCTGGTCTTCTTATTACAAACATAACCCCACAAATAAGGAAAGAGTTATACAAACATCAACAAGAAAGATGAAAAGAAACAACAGAGAGACATAGTGACATCAATCAGTTTCTCTTCTCCACATCATCCTCATCAAGCATATACCTCTTCCAGAACCAATGTGGCTTCCACACACTCTCCCTCATATCATCAATAGCCACTCCTTTCGTCTCCGGTATGAAGAACATCGCAAACAGTCCCATCACAACGATCCAAGCACTGAAGAAGAAGAATATCCCCGATCTCATCCCACAAAGCATCGACAAGAAAGCCTGCGCGATCACAAACGTGAAGAACATGTTGCACGAGACAGCAACAGCGAATCCTGCACTTCGAGTCTCTAGTGGAAACGTCTCGCTAGGAATCAACCATCCTAAAGGTCCCCATGACCACGCGAATCCCATCACGTAAACACACACAAAGATCACAACCACTAGTGCTTGTGGCTTCCCAAGTGTCCCCGTCGTGCCTAAGTCTTTCGCTAGGATGATTCCAATGATCAACTGTTTCAATAATTTGTTAGTTATAGAAGATTACTTGTGGAACAAGAAACCTAGAGAAAGTCATAGATAGGTTTAAGTACCTGGCAAATGAGCATGTGAACTGAAGATTGTAGAAGAAGGAATCTCCTGCCAGTTTTGTCTACGAGGTAGATCCCAACGAACGTACTCAAAACGTTGATAGTTCCCGTGATAACCGCAGAGAGAAGAGCTGCGTCACTACCAAACCCAACTGTCTGAAACAGAACAGGTGCATAGAACATAATAGCATTGATTCCTGTAAACTGCTGGAAAAGCTGGAGAAGCATTCCAATGATGAACGGTGGGCGACTCGCTGGCTTCAACAGTTTCCTGAAAGGGTCCTTGACTTGATTCGAAATTTCACAAGCATGGACTATAGATTCATACTCTTCATTTATATCTTCAACTCCTCTGATCTTCCTTAAAGCTTCTTTGCCTTCTTCGTTTTTGTTACGCTCGATGAGACTCGTGGGAGTCTCGCAGATGATCAACGAACCGAAGAGGAGGATGACTGCGGGAATCGCAGCTCCACCGAGAGCAATTCTCCAACCGTAAGGGTGTACCGTGGCGGTGAAGTAATTGACAAGGTTGGCTATTAGGATTCCTATTGTGACCATGAGTTGGAACACAATGTTGAGACCTCCCCTGAGCTGTGCCGGAGCAATCTCTGATAAGAAAAGTGGCACTGCCTGAAAATTTAAGGTACATACAAAAGTGTTAGCTCACTTCCAGAGGCTGTCAATTTATATAGTTAAATTATATTAATCAAATAAAACCAGTTAATTAATATATTTTCTAAAATATTTCTAATATGTATGTGTTTTTAAATTTTAACACATAGTAAGCACATATATATTTTAATATATATATATACATATTAATGAAAAATGTATCAAATATAAAGAATTTGATGTTTAAATTAATAAAATATAAATTAATAAGTATTTGTAAAAAAATTTATGGCCGCATGTGTGGTCATACGACACCTAGTTAACAATATATTTGAAGAAATAATGATGTATTTAAAAAAAACTAATAGGCTCATCTATATGTGTTTTAACGTTTTCAAAAAAAAAAAAAAATTAAGACCCTAATTTATGCATTTACTAATAAAATTCTTAATTTTTAAATTCAAGTCCTATTCGAATGGTTCCGCATGCACATGCTAAAAGATGGCCATGTCCAAGAGCAAGAGTTCATTATATATATACCTGGTTGCCAAAGCCAACACCAAAGCCAAGCAAGATTCTTCCAAAGATCAACATGATGAGGTTAACGGCTCCTGCGGTTAGCCCTACACCGATCAAGAAGAAGATAGAAGCGAACTGCATCGTGGGCTTCCTTCCGAGTTTAGAACACACGGCTGAAGCAAAGAAGCTGGCCACAAGCGCAGCTAGGTAAAGAGACGATGTGAATAGCTGCAAGAACTGATTATCATACTTGCAGTAATTATTCTCATGTGCATGCTTCTTCCTCTCCCACACAGCAGGGAAAAATTCTTTCAAGAAATCGTCCATAGCCGTTACTCCACCTTTTTAAAAAAATAACGTCATAAAAAATTAGCTAAAAAAGAAAAACCAAGAAGAGATAACTTGAGCTACAAGAAAGAGAGTAAACCGGAAATTCCGATGTCGTAACCGAAGATCAAACCGCCGAAAGCAGCAATTACAACGCAGATGAAGACATAGACAGTTAACTTGGCTTCGAAAGCCGGAGCATTCCCGTTTGATGATACAACAACAGCCATGTTTGGTGAATATAAAGATCAGACACCACCACTCAAATTAACTCAGTATATATATGTACAGTTAGATATATACAAAAGTGTGTTTTGTGTTAGCTAGATATGAAACATGAAGAAAGGTGAAGAAGGAGACAGAGACCCTGATGAATAGAGGATGAAGCAAATCACATATTTATAGGACACGACAGAATCACAGAACAAACTGTGATACAGACTTTGTCTAAAAATGGGATTTAATGTTTTGAAAATAGCATAAGCGATATCCACGGTTATTGTATGGCTTGTAACTGTAAAAACTCTTCTTTTTGTTTTTTGTTTTGGATCATTATCTTGTTTTCTCTTTACCAACTTATTTTGGGATTGGATTACACAGTCAGATCTTTCATTTACCATCAGATTAGGGATGTCTAGCCCGGTTAAACGAACCGATCCACTCAATAACCATAAACCAAAGCTTAACTGGATCCTAAATTTGGTTGTTTCGGTTTTATTTTGTTACACCCGAATAAAAACAACAGCTAACTTTCTTAAGTTAGTAAAGCAACGTAACAGTATTTTCCAAAACTAAAAAAAAATAGCACTATCGTTGCGTGTTGATCTGAGCCTAATCTCCAAATATCAGTCGGTTTTAGATGTGCTGTTAGATAACAGATGTAAACAGATAAGTTTATTTGGATATGATTAGATGCAGATATTATCATTTAGGCTTTGATAATTTACTGTCACATCCACTTATAGACAGTGTTTTACATTGTTCTGAGCGGTTTGTTTGGGAAAGAACAGACCCAAAACAGCAAACTGGTGACTATTTCGTGATAGTTTCGTAAAAAAAAGAATTAAGAATGTTTTGCCTTTCTTATTACACAGAAAAACTTATTAGTATGTATACAGTGTATCACCTTTATTACGTTTACGAGCATTCAATAAATAATATGTAGCAATAACAAAAATAAAAAGAATACAATTTGGGTGGACTTGTTATTAATCACTCTGGAATCACAAAGCTTTATTAGCGGTGGGATCAGAAGCAGCAAGGTCCTTATACATGTTTGTTATTGCTTCTGCAAAATATTCCTTTGCTTGTGGTCTCTTAATCTGCAAACATTTTCAATCAGTTCATTTTCACAACTGGTTTCCTAATTGAATTCACCTTTAATAGCTAGTTTAAACGAAGTATATATAATACGAAACTATTGATCTTAGTTGCTCAAATTAGCATTGCAGAAGTTACCTTTAATGTCGGTGTCAACAAGCCATTTTCTAGCGTAAATGGCTCCAGCACCAATGTCACAGCTTTTGCAAACTCAAAGCCTCTCAACTGCATCAAAAGATAGTCTTAGTCAGTGATAGCGTATTCGAGAATAGTAACCAAGATGAGATAATAAATGTTTTTTTGAGATGCAATGCCTTAGCTTCTCTTCCAACAGTCTCCATGTCAGATAGTATTGCGGCTTTCACTTTCGGGTTATTGCACAATTCTCTCAGATCTCCGTGCTGCATTTAGCATACTTGTATAAAGTTACTTTTCTTGTTGTTATATATGAGATAATTTGGTGAATGAAGTTATAAATCACCTTAATGCCATGTGAAGCAGCCCAGCTTTTAAGCACGTCTGGATCAACCGATACTACAGCGACCAATGATGAATTAAAACTATCACCTGAAAAAGAAATGGATAACATGTGAGATGTGGAAAGAGTAAAGCAACTACTCAACAAATTAATATAGAACATGTTATTTTCTCTTACCATATATGAAGCATTGTCCCACAAATTTGCATTTAGCATAGACATTTTCAATTTTCTCTGGAGCTATGTACTCTCCTTGCGCCAATTTGAAGATGTTCTTCTTCCTATTCAAAGAATTGAGGAAAATTTACTAAGATGATTCTCGGTTCAAATAAAGAAGAGGCCTTAGTCTTTGTGAGCCAAAGCATTTGTAGTTACTAGTGAATAAAGTACCTGTCAATGATTTGTAGACGTCCTCCCGGAAGCCACAGGCCTATATCTCCGGTGTGAAGCCATCCATCTGCATCAACCACCTCTCTCCTGAAAATAGAAACATTTTACTGAAAGGAGTATATTTTTAAGTAAAACTTGGTTAGTGAAAGAGGTACTTGGTGTTCATACGTTTGAACTTCATCTTTGTAATAGCCTCTAAAGACGATAGGACCCCTCACACAAATTTCGCCACGGGGATGGGGCTGATCTGCCGATGTATAGTTCATTTCCGGGACATCCACAAGCTTTATTTCTGAAACAGAAACGCATTAAAAATAACATAACGATATAAATTGTATATTTAGTTCTGAATCGCAGAGCAAGTATAAAGCTCACCACAAGCTGGATTAGGAGAGCCAACATGTCCAATGAGGTTATCACCCTCGTCCATTCCACTTATAACACAAGCTGTTTCAGTCATTCCATATCCCTCTAAAACCCTTCCTCCAAAGCATCTGGGGTAGAGTTTACAAAATTAAATAGAAATAAAGAGAATCACAAGCAAATGTCAAACAAGTTAAAGAAAATCAAAGCCAGTACAATTATGCATGATGCGGCCTGAAAGGCGTTCATTCTTGAGGATTAAGTCCATTGTATAGTATGAGATAACACAATCTTCTAAAAGAAATCAACTTACATTTTCATAAATTCCATGACTTCAGGAGATAGAGGTGAAGCCCCAGACGTCATAAAACGAACCCGGCCTCCAAGTTTGTCCTTTATCTTATTAAAAACCAGCCTATCCCATATTGGAGAAGCACTCTTTCCTGAACCATCAGTACGCATACAAAGCAAATTGAATAAACGAACTATTACTATCTACTTTAAGGACCCAACAGTCATCAAAATTCCAAGCTGTCTCAGAAATTACAACATAAAGCTACAGAAGAGTAAATGTGCATGAAAGGACCTACCATTTAGGAGAGCCTGCTTCTTTGCATTATAGGCAGCATTGAAGAGCCTCTCTTTCAGCCCGCCAGAGGATTTTACTGCATTAGTGATACTAGCAACAACAAATTCACCATCGATTTAGTGAATCACTCAAAGCAGCAGAGAGCATATATCAACAAACTAAAGCCATAAGCCATTATTACCCATCATATATTCTATTGTATAATCGAGGAACGCTGCTGAATACAGTAGGCCTCAGAGCCGCTATATCATCTAGTAGCTTCATATTGTCCTGTAGAAGTTTTCGAAGGGGTTCGTCCAATCAAATCAATAGAAAAGAAATAGAGGATGGGGGGCATAAGCAAAGACCAGGTCACAGGTACACAGGTTTATCAGGAATTCTTAATGCAAACCAGTGGATATTTAATATTATCATAAGCATTACGATGGAGCTACGGATATTATCAAAATTGTATTTTCAGACGTTTTGCCATCACGTTAAGAAATAAAATGCATGCCAATTAATTGGTTAAAAGGATTGAGTTTCCAACCCCTTGGTAGAAACCAACAGCAACTCCAAAGTACACGGTAAGGATTTGATTTGCTCGTTCGTAAATGTGTGCCAATGGAAGATATGAAATGTAACTGGAAAATAAAAGAGAGTACGACCAAATTAGTTACAAGTAATTAATTGGCCACTTAAGAATAGAGGTACATGCAGTAAGTATACATAAGGGAGAACGTTTAATATCTTTTGCTATTAGTGTGTTAGTAGAAGGTAGAAATGTACTTACATATCTGACGAGAAAAATTTCACACTAAAACTGGATCCAGCAACATTTGAAATCAAGTTCGTATGAGTCAATACGACTCCCTTTTCATCCAGAAGAAGAGCAGGCCAGGAAGGATGAGGCATGCATAATAACATAAACAGTAATTTAGACGCTATAGATTGTGTAAATATGAACTAAAGAACATTACTGTCCCAGATTTCGAGTAAATAAAACCTTGGGGGTCCCAGTTGTTCCGCTTGTATAGCATATGGTTGCAACATCATCGGGTTTTGGTGGTACGAACGGCTGAGGGTTACTGCGGCCCTGAAACAAATTTGTGTGGTCAGAAAACTGTGAACCAACATGTACCACAACTTACTCTTCACAAAGAAAGATACAAAGCAACTATAATATCTCACTGAGAAGACTATGATGAGATATATGGGAAAGGTGTAGGTGTAGGTGTAGGTGTAGGTGTAGACCTTATGTAACATGAAGTCTAGTTATAGGTAAAAGAATAATGATATAGGTGTAGACTTGTTATATAACTAGGTGTCCAGTGTTATATAATTGTTAACGTAACAGAGTATACCTGATTCAGTAACATTGAATATGATACGACTTTCACTCCTGCTGATGCGGGAAGCGAAGGCAAAGATTCATTCAACCCTCCAACAACCTACTTGGTACATGAGAAGTATCAGAAACAGAGAGAAGACAAAGTTAATCTGAAAGCCGTAATACTAAAACTCAACAGTGCAATCAATAATTAAGAAGATGAGGTCTTTTCATACCACAACGAGGCGTACACTTGGCATCTCAGACAAGCCGCTAAGTAACTGCAAGCTCCAGCGATAAACCAATCAAGAAGGAAGCAAAAAGACGTCAGAAAAAAAAAATTTAGCCAATGTTTAGCAACATACACAACACTTGAGCAAGAGGTAAAATTTTCTTTTTTTTTTCTCATTACATCCAGGTAACCTTTAAAAACAGAAATTCAAGCAGCAGACTCATGAACTTACTGAGTTCAACGTCTCCGCCACACAAAATATAGCTTGCACATTTGCATGATTGACAATAAATTGTACTGCATCAGGACCTTAAGCAAAAAAAGAAAAAAAAAAGCATAATTAGAACATTCCTAAAAAACTTGCAATAGATAACCAGAATACTCACCAAGAGTATCATACAAAGGAACAGAGACATAAGAATAAGCAGCACAAGCATGATCAACAATGAGCCACTCTGGACGGTTAATAAAGTAAATTCCAACAGTAGATCCCTGATATAAAAAAAACTTAAGTCAGCAAAAACTTAAATCCAGGAAAAAAAAAAGAGT